TCGACTACTCTCGTTGTTAAGTACGTAACAAACTTAAGTAAATAACTACGATATACCTCCTACCCTAACCACTAGTAGTTACTTGTCGTAACGACTACGTGTCGTCTCTCTCTCTCTCTCTCTCTCTCTCTCTCTCTCTCTCTCTCTCCTCATTATTTATTTCTCTTGTAGGTGCTTGGAGACCCAACACCCGAAGATAATACTGTATATGGGGATTTACTAAACTTGAACATGCCACCCCCAGTGGAAGTTAGCAGCAACAAGGGCAAGCAAGTTGAAGAAAAGGAGAAGATTGAAACTATAGACATGTCTTCAGAGACTCTTACAGAATCTGACTCTCTCTTGAATAACAAGGTTAATGAAGCCATAGAAGAATTATTATCTGCCAAGATTCCAGAACCGGAGCATGTGGCACCAAAGGCACCAATGACTCCCACCTTGCCATCTGTCACTTATCCAACCATCGATCTTTCACGTGCCGAAGTTCCAACTGCATTTGTTGAAGTTCCAATTATTCCAACTGGTGAGGTTGCAGCGGCTGGCACCCCAAGCTCAAAGGAGGTGGAGGCGGCTTTATTGAGGGAGTTGGAGGAGATGGGTTTTGATGAGGTGGAACTAAACAAGGCAGTGCTTAGGAGGAACGACTATGACCTCGAGGAATCCATCGATGAGTTGTGCTGTGGCTCTTCTGAGTGGGACACCATTCTTGATGAGCTGCAAGAGATGGTAACTATTTTCATGGTTTCTTTTTCTATCCTTTGGAAGAAAGGTGGGAGGGGGAACCTATCGTGACAGAGAGAGAGAGAGTAACAAATTTTTGGAGAGATTGCTCTTAGTTATATACATAGAGAGACATAGATAGAGACGATAGAAAGAGAGTGAGGAACTGTTAATTATATACATTGAGAGAGAGATGGAGGAAATTTTTTGGAGTTTGCGCTTAGTTATATACAAGAGAGAGAGAGAGAGATATATGGTGATGTATTGACAAGGGATTCTATTGGCGCAGGGTTTCTGTGATGAAAAGACCAACATGATGCTGCTGAGGAAGAATGGAGGAAGCATTAAGCGAGTTGTGATGGATCTCCTCACCCAAGAAAAGAATAAGTAAATAAATTTGTCCATATTTCCATTACTTAGATATGTCTGGATCCAGATTCTTACCAGTTTCTGATGGATCCGACATTTCTGATGGATCCGACATTGGTACATATTTCCTCTTGATATGCTACTAACTTTGCTTGCAAGACTTTATATATGGTTTGGTAAGTACAGAACAATCAAGAGCGATTGGTATATATTTGGTATATATTCTGACTGGAATATGGTATTAAGACTAGTGATTATTGGTATATATGCTTTCTCTACATTTACCAATTATTCTCTACATTTTTTTTTTCTGAAATCAGTTACTATCAATTTCTTTCACTCATGTACTATTACAAGGAGGTTCAAGAAAAACATGATGTAACCACCGATTAATGTTGGTGGACACCACCTTTTTTCACAGCATCAGCTTCTATATTAGCCTCTCTAAAACAATGAGATAACTCAAAAGAACCACTACTTAAAATGAAAAAGATTTATTGAAAATGCTGCATAATTTCCAAGGTGGCTTCATTTCTTCTTTTTTTGCCAAAAGCAATGATATTGTTTGAAGCACCTTCAATCATCTCTTGGCCCTCTAGGTTCTTCATCTTTAAACCCTCTAAAAGAATTTTTGCTTCAGCTTCATTCATTGTTGCATGTCTAAATGGTCATGAGTAGGTGAATTTGTAATTATCCATATGATCTCTAATGGTACCACCATAATCTGTTGAGTCTGAGTTTCTAATCGAGCTTCTATCAAAGTTGAGTTTTAAATAATTTTTATGAGGCATTGAAATGGCAAAGTTAAGTTTTAAGCAATTTTTATGTGGCATTTAAATAGCAAAGTTGAGTTTTAAGCAATTTTTATGAGGAGGCATTTTAATAGATTTCGAGTATGTCTGTCATTATTAAGTTTAACTTCATATGGGTATTAAAAAATATATGATTTTGAGATAAACTTACAATCCTTGTTTGTTGAAAACCATTCAGCTGTTGTTGCTAAGGTGTTGGATTTCAAAACTTCAATATCATTTTGTGTCTTTTCAAATGTTTTTTTATTTCTCTTTCGAAATATTCCAAATAGTGCTCATCCATAAAGCTTTACATAGCACAGTATCAACTTTCAACAAATAAGAGTTTATTCATTGAGAGAAGATCAACTTTAGGCTGTGGGATCAGGATATTTAGATTCAAAAACTTTCTACACCATTTTTACATGCTTAGAGGGAAAAGACACTGGAAAACATATAGTCCACACTTTAGTTATCCCTCAAATGTAGCCTACAAACATTGACATTTATGAAACCTCTCTTACGAAGGTTATCCACAGTAGGCTTCCATTTTTTGAAGAGCTACCTACAAAAATAACTTAACTTTCAACGGCACTTGTAAATTTCAAATTCTTGTTAAATTACAATCAATTGCTTTGTGATTCTCGTCATGGAGTAGTAGATAGATAGACTTAATTGAAAAATCCCCTGAAAATCTTCCGAAGCTGTGAGTTCCCACACCAATCGATCATCTTTATTAGGAACATGGAAAAATTATGCAACAGATTCGTAAGCATTTGGAACCATGAAACATACAAAAAATTATGCAACAGATTCATAAGCAATTGGAACCCATGAAAGAAAGAATCTGAGACCTTCCTGTATCTGTAAACAATATTCGAAAAAGACTTAATTGAAAAATCCCTTGAAGCTGTGAGTTCCCACACCAATCGATCATCTTTATTGTATACATAGAAAAAAATTATGCAATAGATTCATAAGCAATTGGAACCCATGAAAGAAAGATTTGAGACCCTTCTGTACATGCAAACAATATTCCAAGAAGACTTAATTGAAAAATCCCCTGAAGCTGTGAGTTCCCATACCAATCAATCATCTTTATTGGGAATATAGAAAAAATTATGTAACAGATTCATAAGCAATTGGAACCCATGAAAGAAAGAATTTGAGACCCTCTTGTATCTGCAAACAATATTTCAAGAAGAGTTAGTAAAATCAGCTCCTTTAAAATCTTTTATTAAGGTCAATGAATTGTCGACTTTAGAGAAGACCACAGGGAAATAATCTTGAAGAGCAAGGTCTCCCAGCCACTTATCAAACCAGAACAAGGTGTGATCTCCCTTTCCAACGTCCACTTCAGGAAGTGGCGCCTGTACAGTTCCATGAGCCGCAATCTCTCCATCGAGATACGCTCTGGGTTTGGGTTTGTCGGAGTTGGTGCTAGGGTAATCCATCTATCGGGAGATAACCAAATCCACATCAATTCCTTTCCAACTACTTTAACACCAACCTTAGATCGTGGACTTTTAATGAGGTCAGTCAATACATCTACTCCATATTTTTCTTTTAATACCTCTCCCCGTACACTATCCTGCTGATTTTGAAAGCTCCACCACCACTTAGTCAATAGGTTAGTGTTCATCAATTTGAGACCCCCATCTCTCTTCGAAGTGCATACATTTTCCCAATTCACAAGTTTCAACTTATTTCCCATTCCTATATTGTCCTAGAACAAAGATCTCATAATATTTTCCAAAGTCGTAACTACCTGCTTTGGCATTCTGAAAATGGATATAAAATAGATCGATAAACTGGACAAAGTAGAGTTGATAACAATAGATCTTCCTCCAAATGACAACACTTTAGATTTCTATAGATCTAGTTTTTATTAAATCTTTCAATAATAGAATCCCAAATAGTTGTCGATTGGTTTCCTCCAAATAAAGGAATACTCAAATATTTGCAAGGAAACTTGCCAACCCCACATCCAATAATTTCTACCAAAGATGCCACCACGTTATCTGAAACTCCAATCCCAATCATATTTATCTTTTCTAAATTCACTTTGAGACCGGTTGCTATTTCATACACTTCAAGAACACTTGTTCCTCTAGACCACGAAAGATAAAGAGTACCATCTGTATATTGTAAGTGGGAGATTGTTAGTCTACCAATACTAAATCTAGAAATAAAGCCTCTACTCATCACAGAGTTCAGCATAGTACTAAAGCTTTCTACTATAATAGTGTATAAGTATGGGGATAAAAGATTTTCTTGTCGAATGCCTTTTGATGCTTTAAAATAATCACAAGATTTTCTATTGAAAATGATGGAGAAATGAGTTGACTTCAGACATCCCTAGATCCACACTCTTTAACGAGATTCCGTAAGATTTCAAGTAGAACATGCCAATCCAATTTATCATATGCCTTTTCAAAATCTATTTGACATAGAAGACCTAGTTTTTGCTCTTTGAGCCTTAAGTGTATGCATTCTTGTGCCATTAAGATACTATCCATAATATGTATGTCTTTGAGAAAAGCAAATTGAGGACCTTTCATAACCAGATACAATACTTATCTCAATCTATTTGCCAAAATCTTTACAACAATTTTATAGACACTCTCCAGTAGGCTAATAGGCTTTATGTCATTCACACTTTCTATAATAGATTTTTTATGAATTAAAGCAATAAAGGTCGCATTTACTGTTGTCGAGATTTTACTTCTATGATAAAATTCATTCATGAGTAAAAAAAGATCCTCTTTTAAAAGCTCCCAAAAGGTTTGAAAGAAGGCTAAAGGAAAACTGTCTGGCCCTAGTGCCTCATCCCTCCCCAAGGAGAAGATTACAATTTTTATCGCATCCATTTCGAAAGATCTTTCCAGCCATAAAGCCCTTTCTGAAAGTAATCTATTGAATATGACATTCTCAAGACTAACATGATTTCTTCTTTCCCCTGTAAAAGCTTTCTTGAAATGGTTAATTAAATTTATTTCAATACTATCTGATTCTGTAAGTTCCACATCTCCTATTTTAATTTTACTTATGGAGTTACCCTTTTTTTCTAGCATTAACAATAACATGAAAGAATTTAGTTTTTATATCTCCTTTTTTTAACCATTTCACTCTAGATCTTTGGCTCTAATATACCTCTTCCAATTTCAAAAGGTCATGCAAAGAAGCAAGATAGATGTTTCCTTCTCTCATTTTTTTTGGTGGCACTGATCCTCTCATAAATTGGATGTCATCAATCTTTTCAATATTTTTTTTTATCACTGCAAAATTTGTCTCTAGGTTATCCCAATATTTGTTTTTCTATTTACAGATTTCCTTTTTCAACATTTGCAATTTAATAGTAAATTGATGACCCACCCAATCTTTTATCTTGGTATTTTGCCAAAACTCTTCTAGGAACTTAATAAAGCTTCTATCTGATAACCAATTTAGCTCTATTCTAAAAAGTGATGAGCCAAACTTCATACCCATCGAATTCAACATGAGAGGGACATGATCGGATGCAATATTCATTAAGGCTTTAATATAAAGATTTGGAAACTTATTAAGAGAGGAGTTGGTCACCAAGAATCTATCCAAACGGGTAAGGGTAGGGTTTGGCAGAGCATGGTTTGACCAGGTGTAGGCATCCCCAATCGAAAGAATGTCAAGAAGTTCATTATTTTAAATAAAGGAATTAATATGCACATACAAGGAGAGATTCTAGGATTAATTGAGGATTCACTAGGCTATCGAATCACATAGAAATCACCTCCAATACACCATGGCACATTGGGACAGTTAGGGCCATATACATTTGTTAAACACCATTTAAAACGATTCACATGGTCAGAAAACAAATTGGAGATATGTCTTTCATTTAAAGCACAATCATCTTTTTGAACTACGCTGGAGTCAAAGAGCCTGTTTTTTATATTTTGGATTACAAATAGTGTTGGCCAAACAGGGTTCAAATGCACCATGGTTTGTGCTGATTCTTCCATTTTTAATAGTTTAAGAGGTTTCAGAGCTCCATTGATCATGTGTTTGTGTTATCAACTCAATCGTAGCGTTTACATAGAGGCCCAACTGCCATGTCCGCAGCTTTTAGATTTTTGTTAGAATTGCAGTGCTTGTGTTGGTCAATCATTACTTTCTGAAAAAGATTGCCTGAGCCAAACCTTGCTATTTCTAAAAGAAGTGGCTAGATATTGCTGAAAACCCATTGCTTTTAGAGTTGAACTCTGGGCACTGAAGTTATGGCAAGTGTCATTAAGGTTCTCGCAAGATTTACAAATTTGGAGGCAATCCATGCATATTTAATGTCTTCTTTTAGGAATGGAAAGAGTTCATTTAAAGTTACAACTTTATAGTATTGAAGTAGCTGCACTCTAAAAATCGAGGGTGATCAGGGTTCTGGAGAACCTTCTAATTGATCATTTCGACCTTGAAGTGTATGGACACGAAAAAAATAAGAATTTCAAGTTTAAAAAATAGTGCATATATAAAAATTACTTGGACCATCTATTTTCAGGATTTTCAAGTGCTTATTGATTTGCTTTATCTATACTATTTTTAAAATCTTAGAATTTTATAACTAGGGATGAAAATAGATTTTCAAACTATAATAAGGTTTCTGACACCGGAATGGAATTCCAAACAAATAATTGGCACAATTTATTTCCTATACTGTTTTTCATATCTAAGTGGTTGAAATATCGCCTCTGTTGGGTCCCTTACTAAATTATTTGATAAAACCCCTTCAGGCCTTGTTCGGATATCCAGTTCTTTTAGCTGTGGAAGTAAGATCCTTGAAGCCACCATTCAAAGACGTAGTCTCAGTGATGCAATGTCGACCCGCTTATCAGCAAAATGTTGCCAATGGTAGGGTTCTGCCATGGCGATTAGTAAAAGAAAAGAAAAAGAAGAGGCAGAAAAGGGTACTTCTTTCAAGGATATTAACAAGAAGATTATATATACAAGGACGTGGCTAGCATGCGGTCAGCGGGGCATATTGTAGAAATGCGGGCTTG